TGTTTTCCTCCTTGCTGTTAAACTCCATTATGCTGGGACATTTACTGCACTTTGGCTATTCCAGAGTTAAGCTGGAAAGTGCAATTCTACAAACCTGTCTGCTGAGCACTGTGGGCGCTCAGTCTTCCAAACAGCCTTACGTGCTAAGCAAACACAACCACTTCAAAACGCTGCAGCCTCAGAAATCTAAATATAGTCACATAAGTGATAAAATCCAACGTGAGAGCAAGAAACAGGCTCTAGCCTGGGCTTCTGCACTCCAAAGTGGAAGTCATTAAGCAAGCTCTAATTATGAAGCCTGCTGGAGTGGGGGGAAACACCACTGAAACAACCTCCTTTCAAATGCCAGGAAAGATTAATACCCTATAATTTGATATATTATATAGAATATTCAACAAAATATTTTCCTGGATGCAGCAATACAATGCACAAGAAGATTATATAGAGGAAATTCAGCTAAAATGTAAGAAAAAGTTTTTTACTGTAAAGGTGGCTGAACACTAGAATAGGCTGCCCAGAGAGGTTTTGGAGTCTCCACCCTTGGAGATCCTCAAAATACTGTACAGGGTGTGGARYAGCTTGCTGTGGTCGACCCTGCTTYGAGAAGGAGAGCTTCTGAGTTGAGTTCTAGCTGAATTTTGAGCATCTCCATGGATGAAGGCTTCCCARCCTCTCTGTGACAATGCAATGACCATGTTTATTCCTTGCTTATTAGCTGGGCACTTGCTGGTCCTGTCCTGCTGCCTGGCACTGATACCACAAGTTTGGGGCTTCACTGCACAGCAGATAATAGAGAGCAGCTTTACCATGTACCAAATTTCCWCTCTTTTACCCCTCAGGAACTTATGTAAGGGATATGTGGGCTCCAGGCACACAGCAAGAGAGTAAAATCAGTACTCAAAGAGCTCCTGTGACCATTCATCAGCACGGTCCTGGTCTGGATATCTGTGCCTTTTTCTTCTAGTTAAACTTKCTTAACAAAATATCTGGTTTAAGAACATTTAAGAAGCTGCCGTGGTCTGAGTTTAAAGTCTTATTTCTCTTACRATGACCTTGCCACTATTGAAATCACTGATGGATGCTGCCCCTTTGATAGCCTATTTCAGGTAGGTCTTGAACTTACCATCTGCCTGGGGAAGCATAAAAAGCAGTTTTCAGATCTTGCATTGTTTTGTATATTTTCAGCAGAATGACTACTAGCAAAGTAACATAAAAATGCTCCATTTTTATTTTCCCTTTGAAATGTTTTCACCTGAAATACTGCTTCACAGAATAAGTGTGATAACTTRGATCTTTCCCAGAAATATTTAAACATATTGCTTACTGTAACGTAACTCTATAGAGTCACATACAGTACAAGAAAGGTTAATATTTCTCTAGGAAAATATCAAATAACTCATTCTCAGTGTGATTAAATATACCACCAAAACATTTTTGTAATTTAAAGGTCAAAGTTTATATTGAATAGTTAGAATTTTGAACTTAAGAATTTATTTTAAAACATCACCTTAAAGCCCACGTTGATATGAAATTCTGTACACCAGCTTTGAAGAATAAATCTTCCTGAAGTAGGATGGGCAAAGTCTATATACAAAAAACACCTCAATGCTACTTGGATAAAAACAAGTACTGAACAAACAAATTTGAGGTCAAAAAAAAATTTCCATCTGTCAGCATCATATCAGAACAACAAATGACAAACCTGGAAACTACATTTGGGGGCTTAAGGTGTCCAGGATTTGACTGTTTTTTTTTTTTTGCAAAGACTGAACAATGAGTGTCAAGCTTTATTCTTAAGTACAACCACAAAATGACAACATAATGATTCTTGTTCTGCTCAAAACAACATAAAATTGTTTAAATTAATGACAAGCTAGAAGATGCTTTCCTGAATCTGTTGATTTTGTGTTTGTGATTTGTATTAACTTGAGCACAGGCTGCAGACCTTCTCTTTCTCAGCACAAAGGAAGAAATGCAACTAGACCCCTGCTCTTTTGACCAGGGCTCATCTTCAGCATGCTTGTCTTTTGCAYCTCTACTAGTTCGTCTGTTTTCACCTTATAAAGGTGAAAACCAAAATGCTGCTCTAGGCAGTTTGCTCCTCTGCAAGGATTCCTAACTCCCCACTGAGGCAGAGGTCCCCAGGCTGCCCCATGGGCAGGAGAACCTGACAAGTCCTTCACCTAAGCAGCATCACGGGCTGCTATTAACTTCCTCTGGTCCCAAGATGGTCCCACCTCAACTACAGATGCTCTGGACAAAACATAGTTGCTTTCTTGTTAAAATGCTTAAATTCAGAAGCAGAACTGAGAAAAAATAATCCTCATAGAGCGGACTCATGTTTCTAGAGGTAAAGATCTTGAGTGTATTCCATACTACACATAGAGGGGAAGCAGCATCACTTGGCCTACACTCGAGTAAGGTGATTTTGTTGCTAGCAATGCACTACCAGGTTGCTTAAAAGCCAAGTGCACTAAACAGCTCATAAACATCTTGCTCATAGTTCTGTTTTCTGCAGGAAAAAATCTTTAGAGAACAAAGAAATAGAAGGAGGAGGAAGATGAAACTGTAAACCAAGTGTAACCCAAGTCKTGGATACTAACTTACAGGATATCACGTTACTCCAAGTTTGCAGGCTGAATAAGAGAAAACTACCCGAAACAGAAATATGGAACTAAACCAACTCCTGTTCACCATGAAGATGAAGGATTTCTGGCTCCTAACTTTTCAGCCTACTGCCACCATCTGCAGCAGGGCTGGSGTCAGACTGAGAATCAACAAGTTTGAGTACTTGATATCAACAAGATGCTTCTCGATGAGAGGGACTGGCTTTTCATTGCTGACAACATACCCTGGCATGCTCACGTAACAGACAATTATTATTAACTCCTTTAAGTAATAAGATCTCAGTGTAACAGATAGTCTTGAACTTTTCCTGGGGAATTAGGTAAAATTGTTACTTTTTTCATTGTTTACAGTGCTTACCATAACATTGCAAATAGCCACTTCATCTTTCAGTGATATTTAGAAATCCATTACAATTTCCATTAGTCTTAAATTTAACAGTTGCCTATAAATCCTGATGGGATTAAAATCTGTATAGTGAAAAGGCTAATTTCAGAAAAAAATATAGCAGCAATTTTAGGATTTAAGGACTTTATACCCTTAATTCAACATTTTTCCAAAAAATAACACTTAGATCACCAGTGATGACGTAACAGTCCTCAAGTTTCTCCGCAGTGCTGTGTGTAGACAGCAATCATCGTCGTTAGCTGAYTGGAGATGTACTGAGACACATATTAAAATGATTAAACAACTTTTCCCACCCACTTTAATCATAACTTTACTGTGACTCCCTTACTACTACTACAAAAGTCTGTTTAAAGTTATCCATGGCCTAACACATATTTCGTTTTCAAGTGATTGTACTTTTTTTTYTTTTTTTTTGGCTTCAGTTTTATAAAGGGCACAAGTGCCTGAATTTAGAGGGGTTTTTCCCTCTCTTATCTTTTCATAAATAGCAGAGCTCCATAGGGTTTCTCACCACTCTGCTCMATCTTTCCTACCTCAAACTTGACAGCTTTTGCTCCAGAGACTCCGTTGCTCAGTCGATCAGCAAAATCCAAGTAAAACTCAAGAGATCCTTCCTTCAAAAGTTAACCTGCCTTTGGCTGTAAAGGCAGCTATAAAAGATGTGCTTTCCCAGTGTAAGAACACTATTCTACCACAGACAACACTGCCCTCACAGTGGGATACAGCTATGCTAACAAAGCTGAGCTTTGTATCCACATTCACTAAAATGATAAAGCAAGCACAGAAAAGCAGGTAAATGTGCCTTTCAAAAGGGTTTGGGCTGCTGGGGCTCAGGGATCACACAGTTTTTTGCACCTGCCTGACACAGCTTTTACAGCAGGAGACTATGCTGCAGCTTGGCTGGGGAAAAGATTTTTCAAGGTAGCACAAATGGAAAAAAAATAAAAATAAAAATAAAAATTCAGTTGCTTCATTAGTCTTGAAGGAAGCTAGGAACTTTGCTTTCTATTCTATTGGAAAATCCCCTTTAGTCAAGAAATGATTTCTGCTTTTCCTTACAGCAATTACAAAACTACTGTGAATACTGTCTTGCTTCTAAATTACGAACAAGGGCTTACTTGTGTAATCACATAGTTCATATATAAATCTTCCATGCTTAGGGCCAAGAGGTACTTCTACATTCTGTAACTGTTTTGTACAAATTATGCTCAATTTATAGCTTCAACAGTTGCTTCAGAAAGAGAAAAACAACCACAGCACTACTAAAGTGTATTGTGAGGACTCCGCTTACTCCTTTTGAAGTCCAACACGTGATAACCACTAAGTCCAACTGGAGCATGAAAGCCAAATATATTGAACTTGCATCGTGCTGTACTTACCCAGAGCAACTGACTCAACTGTAAGAGTCTATCCTTAAAAATGCTAAAAGTATTTGAGATACCCAGGAACTTCAACRGACCGTCCTCAGCCTGGTTGTTAAAACGCAGACTCCTTGATTTAGGAGACCAGAATGGACTCCTAAGATTGAGCATGACTGGACACTACTCTGATAAAGCCACAGATTGAACTAGAATGGAAAATGAAATGTGATCTGTAAAACTGATACTCCCTGTAAGGCTGAATTAGGAACACTGGCTGGAAAGCTAAGAGCCAGTTTGTGTTCAGACATGGACACTCTTCCTGATGCATCAAGGGATTTCACCTTTACATGAGATTTTTAAACACAATAGAAGGATATTGTGGAACATAAAGGAAAATGGGAACAAGCAGCTTATCCACGGACATAATTTTACCAAGTGCTCATCAGATGTGCTGTAGCAGGAAAACAGGTGAGCATGCTGAAGCCTGTAACAGTGTTCCCCACTATGCAGAATGAAGAGCCATCACAGAACACACTCTTATTTGACAAAAACAGGTCCCCATCATGCAGAAAACATAGTTTTAAAAAAAAACCCAAGCATTCTTACCCTCCTTCCCATCTACAGGTTTTGATACTTCCATATCAAAGCTCTCCTGCAGCTGCTGGCCTTTGAAACGATTGAGATGTTCCTGTTCTATCAGGTTGCTCTCCTCCTCTTCCAGGGGTTGCCACGTCCCGTCAATGAACCACTGTCCACGCATCACAGGGATTTTCTCAGATTCTGGAAATCAAACAGGAGATACTGGTTTTTAAACACATATCACACACTGACAGCAGACAAAAGACACAGCAAATGGTTTGGTGTTTGGAAGGCAAGTTACATTCCCTCTCCTGCAAGCCCTAACCACCCTACCCCAACTGCAAACACCAGCTTTTCCCAAGGGGCTGCAGCCACTACTGCAGCAGCAACAACCTGCCAGCAGTGGGGCCAAGGAAGCCGAGTTTTAAATGTGTGTTTGTGTGTGAAAATCGGAGAGATGGATAGAGAGATGCAGGCTGTGAAAGATTCATTAAGGGTTAAGCTCAAAGACTAGTCCAACTTTAAAAGGATTATATTCCTCTCTACCCAGCTGCCTTGTATTTTTTTTAAAATTAAATAGCAACTTAGTGAGACTCATGCTCATGTACAAAATTGTACCTGTGGCTTGTAAGAGATATTAAGAGGATGCAGAATGAGGGGGGGAGAGAAACCCATGTGTGCACAGCCTTGCTGCACACAGCCTTGCTCCCTGGGCACTGTGCTTACAATGAAGCCATTTCCATCATCAGAAAGGGTGATTTTAAAATACTTTCTTGCTAGAGAGGGAAGTTCTCCCTAGCTGAAACCCGGCCTTTCACTGCGGGTTGCCTTCAGCTGCTGCATTTTGGTTTCGAGGCCCCACGTGGGGAGCGGGGTGTCTGTTCCGTCCGTTCGCTCTCCGTGCCACAGAGCAGTTCCTACAAGAGGTTTCTCACGGGGTCCATCCCTCACGGAACAGCGATCGATGCCCAAACCCATTCCCGCGGCTGCAGAGAATGGGAATTCGCCTCTTATATAAAGCACTGCAAGCAAGCTCAGACAGCAACATCCACTCCAGCTCAGAATTTCCCTCCTATATCTGGAAATCCAAGAAGCAGAAGTGCTCCGACCACGTGTGAGACGTCAGCAGAAGGCAAGTGCCCCCAGACTCCTGGGGTGGCTGCACAGGGCAGTTTATTGAACCCCAGAGCAGCCAGACCATTAACTTCCAGCACGTGCTGGTGTGCACTAGTACATACACTAGCACGTGTGCACATACTAGTACATACGTACAGCTATGTGTGACTCTTCATCCACCACAGGTACGAGCCGGGAGGGTGATGGGAGGATCTTCTCCCAATATATTGATGATCTATTTAGGAGACTAAAAAGCCTTGGGTCCTCAAGGGCRTGGTTATTTAATGGGAATAAATCCAAATATATCAGAAGGATAAAAAAATCGGAGTGGTTTTAAACTGCAAGAGGTGGTTGCTACAAAGAACGTTGAAAGTTCAATGGTCTGAAAATTTTGACTAGTTTTGGAGTCCGCATCCTACCAGGGAAGCGTGAAAGAGAGGGATTTGAGGTTTTTTGGAATGAAATGTTAACTGCAGTGATGCAAATCACCACACAGAGCGAGCTGCACGAGGAACAAAAACTGAATTTAAACAGCAGTGTCTTATTAGGCACTGGGCTTAAACTGTGGGAGAGGGTTTCACCTGCCAGACATGTGCATCGTGCCGYGGAAGGAGCCCCACGGAGCCTGCTGCTCCGCTCCCCACACAAAGCGCTGCCTGTGGCGGACGCAGAGCTCGCCCRAGGCGCGCGCGGCCACAAAGGAGCCCCTTGTTGCCCAAGCAAAGGGACGGTCATGTCGGATGTTAATCCTTACTGGGAAAATCTGCAGGCAATTCTTTAATTCCTGCCTGAGAATTCTGACGAGGCTCCATTCACTGGATCCATTAAAAGGGTTTTTTTTTGGTGTTAAAAGCTGCCGTATGAATACTATTTTATACTCCAAGCCAAACGAGTACAAGACACCTCTTTTCAATTGTGAAGGGCTTCAAAGTTTCCATGTTGGAGTTTCCACCTACACATTCCTCAAGCTCTAAACATAAACGGTTACAAGAAACATTTTCAGGCTCTTTTTGCCCGAGATAAACTTTCCCATAGCAGTGCTTTACCAGAGTAGACTGCAGGCTCAGCAGCAGCTCTCTAATAACACATGGGCAAGTTCCTCTTCCAGGAAAGCTCAGGCAGGAAATATTTGWATCTTTGAAACAAATAAAAAGAAATTATTGTAAAAATCTTTACAAGGTGGTTGAAATTGGGAATGAAGTAATAATATACCAGGCTGCAGGCTTGGAAAGGGCATTTATCTGGAAAACCCTTCACCTATAAACCACCTCCAAATCCAAGGCAGATTATAACAGAGCTTTGCTTTTGGAGCAGGGCCCTAAACCATGAACAAAGCAAATCACAGAATGGTGTTTTCTAAAACACCATGGGATTTTAGGGAAGCTCTGGAATTCCTTCCCGCCACCTTTAAGCCCGTGCACTGCAATCACAGACCTCTGTGCACAAACTCACCCCATTTCACAACTGACCTTCAAGGCTGCTTTGATCACCAAGAGCCCGCAAGAGAAAACCCTCCTGGTCCAGGAAGCGAGAAAATGACATTTGCTTCTATCAGGGGGAGGCTTGGCTTGGAAAAACAAAACAAAAAGAAAGCATCTGCCCTACACACACAAAGCCWAAGAATTTGGTCTTTCAGATAAGAATGATCATATTTGAAAGTGCAATGTGAGGAGGAAGAAATATTTCATGTTAGTTCTCCTTAGAGAAGGCCCAGTAAGGTGGAAAGAACAACTTTCCATTTGTATCTGTGTTCTGCAGCTTAGAAAGCCAAGCAATGACAGCTACAGCAGGTGCGTGAGAGGCTGGAGTTTAGTTCGGGTTAAATTTTTAATTACAAGTATCAYAATGACAACCTACAAATGCCCCAAACACTCATAATCCTTGAACTCCTAAAGCCAGCAGTATCTCATTTGCAAAGCAGAGACTGTCTACTAGAGGTGAGCCATGACACTGAATAAGGACATATAAGCAAGGTGACACACTAAGAATGCCCAGGATTTCCTGTGGATAGTGGGAAAAATAGACAGTTGTGCCTCAACACACTGAATTCCTGCTTTTAYGTCTCCCTTGAGATATAAAGGTCCTTTTACTTAAAAGATACTTATAGGATTCGTTCAGTGATCTTGATCCTATCGCTTCATTTAGCACCCAGCCTGGCCATTTTAGCACCYGACTTCAATCGCTCCTATCCACCCTCAATAAATTCCTCCATGTCCCCAGTATTCACAGGTGATTTTAGAAAGCTTAAGCTAAACACTTAAATTTTTGCATTCTGAACAAATGAATGACAGGTATTTCTATCATATTATAATTTAACTTTAGTGTGTACAGGGTGGGAAAGAGAAGAGAATTTCAAATTTATCTGATGGTGAAGTGTTATTTATGTTTGTCCCCACAACCTTGAGCCCTGGGAAGTGATTGCTTGGACTTCTCTGCTGCCTTAAGAATTACCCCATATAATCTGCCGCTGGCAGTGCTTCAGGCTGACAGATAGCAGGATGTTTGGCTGGTTATACATTGGCATGGTGTATTTACACAACCCTTTCTAAATATATCTGAATGGCAAAGAAGTTGAGGAAAAGCACTTTGGTTTATTATTCATATAAATTCCTTTCTCTAAAAGTGGTAAAATATAAGTGGTTTAGACTGCCACRAAGGATTATCATGATTTACACAAAAAAGCCTTTTTTTCTCCCCCTGAAAAAACAAGTAATTGATTACAAGTGCTGTAATTAGCGCCATGAAAATACAAAAATACAAGCAATTTGTATTATGGTAATCACCTAAATCCTCTGAACCAAAAAATAATGTCAATATTAAAAAAATGCAACATATAATACCCTTGCAGCAATTTATATAGGTATATCCCAAATATTCCTTTTCTGGTGAGAGTCTTCTTTATATGATATGCACATCCCAGCCTTTGATGTCTCAAARGACTTCAATAAATACAAATAGCATTAAAAAGACCTGCAACGTGCTTGAACACACATACTCAAAAGTATTAACTGAGCTGAATTTGCCTCTTTTTCTTCTTGAATTACGACCTGAACGCTGTTATCTGCTTCCTGCCACCACATTGATTCTCAGGTATATTACAATAGCATGTGTCTAAGCACGCCACAAACTGGTGCTGCTTCATCCTAATTGATGAACAACTACTGCAAAACAGTGCAAATAGAGCTTGAAKAAGATGCCAGGAAGAAATATACTTTGGGAATATCAACAGAAACTAGCATGCATGCGACGTGGAAGAGGGATAAGGGGAATGAAACAATAAGTGACGGTCACTCAACTTTCATTTCATTGCTTCAAAACAAAGGTCTTGTCCAGATGGCTCCATGGCCAAGTTAAGGCAGGCACAGCAGAGCCTGCTCTTCAGTCTCAAAAACCCCATAATCATTAACCCACAAATTAGACACAAAAGGTTAATACAACATTTGAAAGCCCCCAAATTTAAAGACTGTGTTTTGCTCTAGCTGTGAAACTCAGGTTCCTAATACTCTGAGCCCAAAGTGGAAAAGCTGACCAAGACCCAATGTTCACAAAATGCAGTCAACTTGGTACGTGGACTGCCTGCGCTTAGTGCACTAATTCCTGTTCCTTAAATTTGGCTTCTTTATCACTGTGGTTGTGCACAGTTTGCAGGGCACAGAGATGACATCTGTGCAAGCTGAAGGTAACCGAGGCTACAGTGAGGTGACATCTAAGGCTGAGGGCTATTTAAATAAGGAGCAGTCCTGTTCACATGTGTATCAAAGTGAAGGAAAACACAGCTTGCTGCAAGGGCAAGCAGTGACTGCACTGCAGAAATGCTGGGCCTCGGGTGTCCTGGAAACTGCATTACACACAAGAAGCTGAATACCGAAATAGAAAAATAGCTGAAATAGAAATATTTCAGAAGAGCATTAAGGACAGCCACCTAAACTTTTAAATATTTGCTATCCCTTGCTATTGTATGAAGCCTAATATTATAATTTGGGTAGCTTTACTGCACGGCCCGTGGGATTTTTCTCCAGTGCAGGCAGGTTAAGTGTCATGACCAGTATTCCTCAAACTCCGTATCATCTTTAGCGTGACTCACC